TACACTTGACTAATTCAAACTTTCCAGGGTTTTTGAATAACTAGAATTTTAATAAAACAAATTCAAAATGAGTATTTCCTAAGGCATTTTTAGGTTCATGTATATTCAACATGTAGCTTTATATGGTCATGAATGCATCACATTTCTATGTTCTAAATAACCACAATAAAATTTTATGTTCACCACATTGCAATTACAAGGACAGGGGGGTGCTCCAATTCATGTCAGAAAGATTTTCAACAAAAAACTTTAAATCTAGGTTACTTCAGAAATTAAATTAATATTTTCCCCCAAAGACATCAATTAATAAAATTTTAAATTTCATCCAACAAATTAAAACATCTCCCCAAGGCTTTTTCCTCTATGTTCTTTGATTGCTAGTGCTGAGGAGAATGTTGTATACATCCATCAAGACACACAAGTAACCTGTATCTCAAGCAGATTCTTGGGTGCTTTGCATACCTGGGTTCATGTAACCCAAATTAGCATGATCATGTGGTATGTCTAAAATGAAGTGAGTCATAACACATCACAGGTTGCTAAAATAAATTCCCCCACCTGATAACCCTTCCACATACAGTATTATTACTAACAAAATGCAGGATTTTCTGTGTTACAGTAATTCACTTATGAATACACAGTTCTACATTATAGTTTCCCTGAAAGCCAATTTCCCTACTTTCAATTCCTTACCACTTAACAAGCAATATGTGTCTGTGGTTACAAATGGCACTAATAGCTGGGTGTCAGTAGCTCACACTTACAAATCCTAGCTAAATTTCAAAGCCAGTCAGGGAAGAAAAGTCTCTGAGGCTCCATCTCCAATTAACAAGCATAAATGCTGGATGGAAGTTGTGGTTTAAATGATAAAACATCAGCTATTAACAAATAAGCAAACCAAGGGCATGATGCACTAAATTCGAGCCCTAGTACTGGCTCACACTGGCCTGTGTGTGTGCAGACACACACACACACACACACAAACACAAAGAGAACCAGAGAGTGATCAGCTCTGGGCATCCCTAGTGATTGACCTCAGTTTAGGAATCATAATCCATCTATCCATCCATCAATTGCAATCTCTCACCTACCAAACCTCTTACTGAGAACTATCTACTTGACATTCATCTGATGCTCCAATGACACAGAACAGGACCTCCTGATGATATTATTAACATAATGAAATTATGAACATTGACACATTCACAGCAACTTAAACATTTCACTGAAGTATAATTTACTCCATTCTGAAAATATAATACAAATATACAAATAAATAACTTTCAGTAAATGTATAGAGTTTTCACCAACAGTTAGCTTAATAATCATTTTTTTATTGGCCTAAAGTAGTCTCCTCTTTAAAAACCAAACAAATCCTATTTCCATCAGTTTTCTGAAAACCCTACTAGTGAGTGGATGTGGTCAGAGTTTAGCTGCCTTGGCTTGGTGCTATGGTACTAAGGGAGGTCCCATTTTGGTGGGTGGAAAGTCTCAATGCAGCTTCTTTTCACAAGGGTCTCAACAGAGTTATGGAAGCAAAGGATCTCAATGGGGCAACACTGTCACTTTTTCTCCATCTTTTTTAAAAAATAAATTGGGAGATACAGCATGGGCGTTACGATTTTTATAGATTACCAGGTGTGATGAATATTCATCCAAGTGTACAGCAACTTTACTAAAACATTAAGGATTCAACCCAATAACCATTTTGTCAGTTAGACAGTAGAGATGACTTTTAGATCCTCACATATGTCCATTTGTTTTACATTGTTGTTTATAACAATGAAAATAATGCTGGCAAGAGCATATAGTTGCTCTTGAATACGGGACACCGAAGATGATGGATGCAGTCCTGTCTCCTTTCCAGGCCCCAGCAGCATCCCAAGGCTCACTTGCTATTTTGCAATTTCCTCTCTTCACTTTCTGAGAAGGGCAATCGTTAGTCATCTCACCCCACAGCACATGTTGTTCACTTTGTTCCTGTTGTTGTATAATATTCAAAATTCAGAGTGTTCTGAGGATAGCATCTTTTCTGTCTCCCCTACAAGGGGACATCACAGGTCCTGACCTTGGCAAACCACAGTTGGCAACTAGACCTTAGACTAGAATAGAAAACTCAATGCAAATATGATTCCTGGCAGTTCTTGTTAAAATGTACATTCACAGTTTGTCTAAGTGTGGGGTGATATTGAATTCTGCATTTCTCACAAGCTCCTAGGTGATGCTTATTGTGCTGGTCTATGAGCCACACTTTGACTAACAGAATCCTAGTCTTCTCTTTTGCTGGTATTCACAGGCAATCTAGATTACCTGTCAAACTATGACATTTACAGAAACTTTTGTTTTTGTGGCATTGAGGTGATAGGAGGTTTCTAAAATCATCTGTATCCTCTTTCTTGGTATTTCCCTTTGTTAAATGAAAATAAAAACAGGTTGTACTGGCCTCCTTTTGTTTGTAATTCTTATTGCTACATAGTGAGGGTATGCCATCATTTTACATTTAAACTTCAACTACAAGAGCTTCATTTGCAATGGTTTAAGTAACATAGGCTCCTTGAAATTTCAAGGTCACATTGAATTTTTTGAATAGATGTTTGACTTGTTGTATCCATTTAATACTTAAGAGCATATAAGCAAGGTAAGATAATTCAATTACACTCAGCTCCACAACCTCTTAATGGTGTTCGTTTTTTGTTTAGAAGGATTCCTTGACAATCCTCTAACTGAATGGTAGATGTTTGCTAATTTTGAAAAAGAGTCTAATATATTTACTATCTCTGTCTCTGTCTGTCTGTCTCTCTCTCTCTTTCTCTCTCTATATACACACACACGTATTACTTTCCTAGAAGTACCTAGGACAGTAATTATTAGATAATAGTAAATCTATAGGAGCTGTTCTCACAGGCTTGATGATACAACCTGGTGATTTGGCTAGATTATCAAGCTGAAACTCTTTGGATTCATGGGGTAAGTAGGTACATTCTTTGTAGGCTTACACACATCTCTAATAAACATCCCATTCTTCTGAGGCTTCTCACATCTCATGACCTTCTCCCCAACTATTGTCATCCACTGACTTTAAGCTTATTCCTATCACTAGAGACTGTCCCCTCATATACACAGTCATTCTTTGTACCCCAACAATGGCTGTCATCCCTCTCCAAGACTTCATCAGCTGGGGGATGGATCATTCAACCTCAGGGTCTCTTGCTTCTTCAATTCATCAAAGCAATATTCCTGCTTCTACTCTGCCTAGTCATTCACTTCCTGGTATCTCCAAGCACTATCTGCTAGCCTTCCAGTAATCTTAGTTTTAATCAGAAACTGAATCTGATCTATGTACCTCACGTTCCTTGTCACTCCCCATCAACCTGTTTCTAGTTTTTCTTTAAACCTATTTCCCTTGATGTAACTGCTCTCTTCCCTCACCAGCCAATAACACGCTCCTTGAGGGTAGAACCATGGTTTTCTTGTTGTTACTGCCTCCATAATGTCTGGCACAAGTAATCAAGCATGCAATACATATTCTTTATTGTTGATTGCATCAAAAACATGAGAGTCAACAAAGATGCAATGGGTTTCTAGGTCAAATCTCACTTATTGCTGATCAAGACGTGTGGGCCCAAAGGGATTAAGTGTCAATGTTTTCCTCAGGTCAATGTTCAACTTGCCTCAGTACCATGGTTACAGGCTAAGCAGGGAGTAAATGCATGTCCTGATACTCTTACTATTGTTTATTACAACCACAGGTGGAATATCTCTATCAATCCATCTATCACTTTAATTTCTTAAGTGTAGCATTTTTTTCAGTATTGAAATTCAGTTATGCTCATTCACCTTAAGTATATTTTCCATGGTAACAGTATAATAAAATGTGACTTGGCTATAAAACCTCCACAATCCCACCCTCCACAATTAGCTTAATTGATCGTTATTGATACTGTCTCATTCCCCACCCCCAACAGACTGACTAGCTGCAGAATTTGCAGCCTGGCCTAGGGCAGCCTGTGGCCAGTGGATTTGCTCTTTTCTTTAACCTTTGAGAGGGAGTGAGTGAATGAGAATTAATTGTGGTTTGAGACTTTAAAAAAAGGAAACAGACAAACAGAATAAAGAAATAATAAAAGGGTGCCGGATGGGAAATGGTTTGGAGAGAACTAAAAAGGTTCCTAGCCATGGGGGGGCTGTTAACTCAACTACAATCTAGGTCAGAAGGGCAAGAAGTGGAGACAGGAGTCAGAATTTTATTTCTCCTGAAGTGAATAGCAACAATTGATCAATTAACCACGGCCTGGAATAAGTTTTTTTTTTCCATTAAAAAAACTATCTGCCAGAGGAATGAAAACTGACATCAATCTTTCTCCACAGGATGGTGGGGGGGGGGGGGAGATCATAAATCGAAATCTCTGGATTTTTTTTTTTAAACAGCTCTATCTTTCTGCTCTATTTTAAGAGCAAGATTTTTAGGGCATAATTTTCAACAAGTTTTGGCTGAGACTGAATACAGAGCTCAAAGACAATTTAGGACACTCAAAGAAGGGGTCAACTGCTATAACAGAAAATGGCCTAATCACACCAATTATTACTGGGCAATAAACAAAACGCCTCTGGGAATACTTGACCTGTTCGCAGTGCAGCACTGCATCAACCCAAAGTGGCAGGCAGATACACCACCAGCGGGGTGAAAGTTACCTGGCTGGCTGTCCTCTGCCTGTCTGGGGACATCCTACCTACGTGGGGCAATGTCTCCCCTGGCCTCCTTTCTCCTGGGCCCAATCTCAGGACTTCTCTGGAGCTCCAGGAAGACCCAGAGGCGCACGGGGGGGGGGGGGGTGCGGAATCGGTGGCAGACACCCTTCTGCACCCCTCCTACTCCCCACCTAGATGTCAGGCACCCCGCCAGCCCCGGGGTGGGTAGTGGGGCGGTGGGGGGGGGAATGCCCTGGGATGGCGCGGAATGCGGGGAGGATGGATGGTGCGGACTGCATCTTGACCCTCACCTCGGCCACCTTCACCACCTCCTCCCCAATCCGCTCACCTCCGCGCGCTCCGCGCCGGCCAGGGGGAGCCTGGCAGCTCTCGGGCTGCGGCGCCGACTTTCCCAAGGGCCGGGCCGGGCTCCAGGGCCTGCGGACGGCACCTCCGGCTGGCGGCTGCGGGGTGGGCTGTCTCGGCCGGTCGTCGCGCTCCGGCGGCTTCCCCGCCTCCCGGAGCTGGATCGCGTAGCGCGTGGGGGGGGGAAGGGGAGGAGGGAGCGGCGGGGGAGGAGGAAGGCGGGGAGGCCGGGCTCGCGGTACCCGCGCGGCGCCGCTAGGGGCTGCGCACCCGGGGGTGCGGGTCGCGGAGCGGGCACCCCCCGCTAGCTTGCAAGGCGCGCGCCACCGCGTGCAAGAGGCTGGGGGGGGAGCGGAGAGCTCTTGGGGGGGGGGTGCCACGAGGCTCCCCTCGGGCGTGGGGCGCAGCTGAGAGTCCCTCGTGGGGGAGGGTAGCTGTAGTATCACCAAGTCCCCCCACCCCCCTTCCTTTTTCCACCGCGCGGCTTTGGAGGGCGCGGGGACCGGGCTTCCACCGGTACGCACCCCTCCCCCGCGCCCACACCTCCCTACTCCTAAACAAGCCGGAAGAACAATTCTTTTATCTTTTCGCCAGGGTTAGGTCCCGGGAGGTGAAGGCTCCGAGGCGCGCTTTCCTGCGCCGGGGGTGCGGGGGCTCCTCGCCTCCGAGGACGGCGCGGGGCCAGCCTGCGGACTCGGACCTTCACTCCGCCGCCGGGGCCGCGCGGAGCTCGGGTGCTGGAGGAGAAGCCGAGGAACCGCAGCCCGCAGGCAGCAGCCCGCAGGCAGCAGCCCGGCGTCCCGGCGAAAGCTGCCCGGCTCCGGAGGGTGCGGCGGCCGGGGAGCGCTCTGGGGAATCTCCGCGCTGTTCCGGGGGGGGGGGGGGGGCGGGGAGGGATTCCTCGGTAGATCTGTGTTTGTGAACGGTGTCGGGGGAGATCCGAACAGAAAGTCGATTTATCGGGAAAAAAAAACCCAAACCCCCAAACTCGAGAATCGGGGGAACATTGTTTTAAGACGTTTAGTAAATTTCCATTTCAGCAATTAAGTTTAAAAATTATCTCTCCCCGTGGTTTATTAACTAGGAAAAAAAAAAAAGCAAACAGTAAAACGAGAAGGGGGTCTTGGATCGATCCTCGGGGCGCTGCCCTTTCCCCTTTCTAGGCCAGACACAGATTAACATCCACAGGTGCAACTTGGGAAACGCATCCTTTGTTTGTCTGAAATGCCTTCCTCCCCCCACCGACAAATAGAATTAAGGTTTAAGGTTTAGGCATAAACTAAGCTTTTAGTGGTGTGTCAGGGGGCGTTAGTAATAATGACTTCCATTTCGGTAGCTGGAAAAAAAGAAATTTGATACTTTTTTTTAATCATTTCACTTCACTCTCAAATAATGAAATTAGTGGGGTTTTCCTACCATCTGTGAAGTTGATGGATTTTAGTGGTTAATGAAAATACATGGCTTCTCTGTGTTGTTAATTGTGTGTGTGTGTGTGTTAGTATTGGGGCTTAAACTAAGGGCCAAAGTTCACTCCCTTAGCTTTTTCCACTCAAGTTTGGCACTCTATCACTTGACTACACTTCCACTTCTCGCTTTTTTTTTTTTTCTGGATAATTAGAGCTAAGAGTCTGAAGGACATTTTTGCCGGGATAGCTTTGAACTGAGATCCTCCTGTCTCAGTTTCCTCAGTAGCTAGGATCACAGGCATGAGCTAACACCACTGTCCCATTTGTGTTGTGTTTTTAAAAATCCAATATTGTGATGTACTTTTCACAGAGTTATTGAAAGACATAACAAGCTCTAAGAATCTCAAAACCATAAGATCATTTTCAAAATGTCTTAATATGGGCTATGATTATCCAAAAAATATATATGGGAAATCACTTTATTCCCAAGGAGAATGAATGAGTCAACAATGTGCAGTTTCCGGAAGGAAAATCTGCTTTTTATGCTTGAAGTATTAAAATAAGCAAACATCTTGAAGGAAAATCCAATGTTGCCAAATATGTTCCCAAAGATTACTCATGTTGATGCAAAGCAGAATTCCTTTTGGTTCATTTCATGGTAACTGTCATTTTTACCACTGTTTTATGGTTGGTGTTTCAGAGGATAAAGATGATTTCACAAGACTTTTCCAGGTCATGATGTGCTGCTGTCTGAGAAATCTTGTCAGTTCCCTGAGGTAGTAATTTATTCCACTGAAGTGTAGCAATAATTTATTAAATGAATCTCTAGTGGCCTCGAGGTGTTAACACAGTTTTTATTTGAAGTTATTATTCTATTGAATAGCTTCAGAATGATAGTTCCCAAAATAAATTTAAGCATGAGTCCACCCAGATGCATCTCAGCAGCTCACATACAATGAAAATATTTATTGAAGTCCTGCTATGTACCCTAGCTGGGGCTCTAGAGAAAATGGCAAAGAAGAAGAATTACTGAATCTGATGAAAGTTATAGTTTGGTGAAGAAGATAAATTAGTAAACAGTGCAAAGGAGTGGACACAAAGTTATTTATACAAGTAAAAGGTTATGCATGACAAGCAACAGTAAACTTTAAGTTAAATTAAGTTAAGAGATTCTCTATGTAGATGAGTAAATATAGGGTTATGAGAATTTCTGCAGTAAATATGTTCATTAAACCCATTCTCCACAAATCCCCAAATCTGTAGGGAACATTTACTTTTTCAACCATGTGTATTAATAAAACAGAATGCTTCTTTGTGAAATGCTCCTATTTTTAAAATCTAACAAGTCCTTAAACATAAAATTCTGTTAATATTACCTGATACTTACTTTCACACACTTCAGTAGATTTGCATATAAGCACTGTTTGAAATAGATTCTGTTTGCAGACAGAAATAATATAGGAACATGTTTAAATCTATTAAAGCATATCAAAGTACATCTGTACAAAACAGACATTTCTAATTAACATTGTTTCATGAATGTACAAACATGGTTCAGTCTATTGTTGTTGTTATTATTATTATTAAAGTAGTTGTACAAAGAGGTTACAGTTCCATAAGTCAGAGTATAAGTACAATTCTTCTTGCTCAGTGCCATCCCATTCTTTGTTCTCCCAGTTTTGTTCCTCTCCTGTCCCTACCATCAAATTATATAGTTCATTTGTAACATTGTACATTGAATACAATGGCTACATTTGCTCATCCTTCCCTCCATTCCTGTGCCTCCACCTCTGCCCATACCCAAAACATGTTTCCACTTCCTGGTATTAGTTTTGATAAATAGTACATTAGCTGTTCAGAGGAGTTATACCTTTAGATTGAGTCTTACTACTCTTGATGACCTGGCAGAACATAATATTTGTATATAGTAAGCCTGCTTTAGAAAAAGCACATTTTCTAATTACTTTCCTCCTATAAGTATTGCTTGAATTTCTCTGAACAATTTACTCTTTGGGCTATAAAGTGAACAGAATATTTCTTTGGAGAAAATTCTGGAATATTGGCTTAATAAACTATTTCTAAATATGAATTTCATTTTTCTATCAATTTAAGTGTTAGGAAAAATATAGATGTATTCTTTTTTTTTTTTTTTTTTTTGGGTCCGGTCGTGGGGCCTGAACTCTAGGCCTGGGCGCTGTCCCTCAGCTCTTCAGCTCAAAGCTAGCGCTCTACCACTTGAGCCACAGTGCCACTTCTGGCTTTTTTCTTTTTGCTTATGTGGTGCTGAGGAATGGAACCCAGGGCCTCATGCATGCAAGGCAAGCACTCTACCACTGAGCCACCTTCCCAGCACCGAGATGTATTCTTATCACTTAGATTCAGTATCTCATAGAAGTGAATTTTATTATTTTATATTTGTGATAGTAGATTAAGTAAGCTTTAAAATGCTTGCAATTTAAATCTGTTCACACGTAATAACAAAAATATCTGAAGAATCTGTGTTATTTTGTCATTAGTTAATGAAGGTTCTTGGCACCAGTTCCTCTTAATATCTTTGTGCATTTCTTTGAGTTAATTTTCTGGTAATCATAAAGCATTTAAGTTATTAAAATGTTCAAACTGTCAAAATTGGCTCAAGATTTAGGATTAGAGTAGGTCAGCAAAGCTGGCCTCGGAACAATATTTAGATTGTAGCTATTTTTTAAGGATTTACAGTTCGCTATTAAATTCTTAAAACATGTATTAAAAAAAATGATCCAGGCTTGGTGGATGTCCTGCCTCTCTCTAATTTTCTGGCATCAGTCTTACTGTACAATTAAATTCTCCAAAGTAGCAGAGGGTATAGAGTCATAAGCAGGTATATTGAGATTGTCTATAGATTGAAAAATGAATTAGAAAATTCCCACTTGCCTACAAAGTCCTGAAGAACAATTTCTGGGTTTTTTTCCTTACCATCTTCAAGCCATCCTATTCTTTTTTTTTTTTTTTCCTTTCTTTCTTTTTTTGGTTGGTCATGGATATTCTTTTCTCGTTACTTTAGGTATCATCTTGACCAGTCTTTATATAAAATGCTCTAGAAAGCACTGCGGTAGCTGGTCTCTCAGTGAATTATCACTTTGGGTATTCATGTTCTTGTGCAGTTTCCCCTACACTTAGGATGCTCCATTATAACAAATTAGGCATTGCTTCCAATAATAAGTAGTATGGTGATACTTGTGACTTCCAAGGACAAATCAAAAGACTTGCTGTTTCTTCCTTGGTCTCTTCAAGGGAAGCAGAGAGGATGTGAGTAATATACCAAGAGCAGCACATGGAAGAAACCTGAAGTAGCCTTATAGAAAGACCACATGAAGGGATTATGCCCACCAACTCTCACTTGTTCTATTGTACCCAGAAGAGGGAAAATTGTGTGAGTGAAGAAAGGACCTTTGATGTACAAGAGGAAACCTTGAATCCCAATTCGTGGCAAATGGTGAAAACTCCCAATGGAATCACCAAGCTGAGGGCAGTAATTCACAAACATGGGAAAGAGAATGACTTATAAGCTGTTAGTTTAAGAGGAGTGATAGACAGAACACAAAACACAAACCAAACAATGCTTATTTTTCATCATTATCATCATCTTCATCATCATCATTATTATTACTATTAATTTAGTGCCAATCCTGGGACAGGCCTGAACTCAGTGCATGGGTGCCATACTTGAGTT